TTAATGTAGTGTAGAGCACACATTCTTTAGTTATTAATTATTATATAAGGTTTTATAAATCTTTAAGGTATGTTTACTAGGTATAAATCTCTACAGTGACATGTCACTGTCTTGAAATTATTGTGTAAATCATTCGATAGTAGCTGTTGCAGCACTATCGCGATTGCAAGGCAGCTAGCAGTTTTCACTGCTACAAGTTTTCATTGACTTTCCATGTAAACGCGATTTAAGAAGTATATGTTAACTAGGTAAAGATATTAAGTTTACCCATAGGCTTCCTCAAAATTTTTTAGGGGGTCAACATTAATTTAAAAAATAAATGAAGAGTACATTATTCATAGTATATTGTTATGTTGTGTCATTATAACAATTGAGTACTATTATTTATTATAAATTTTATTTATAGAACATTATTATGTTTTGTCATTATTACATTAAATTATTACTATTATTAGGTAAGAGATTTAATTTTCTAGGGATGCTCTTAGGTTTACCATTAAATAATAAATAATAAATTGTAAATCTAATAAAAAATATTTCTTATTGATATACCTATCCTACTATAGAATAATAATTCTAGCTCCTACCACCACATAATAAAGAACTTCAAGTACAGCACATCAGTCTGAATAATATGATTAAAGTATTTAGTGATTTGGCTACCTATCGGTTTATCATTGTTCGTCATCGTAAAATATAAATTATGATAAAGATATGTTTATATTTTTTGATATTTATTTCAAATAGTATTTGTCGCAAATATAATACTATATTTACTCTATATTGTGTAAAATAAAATAGGTAATTAATGTTCTAAATTCTAATTAAATATTCTGATTAGTTCGTACTTCGAATATTGTTATCTGGTTTAATCGTTTGTATCATGTATTAGGATCAAATACTTAAATCTGTGATTTAAGCAAGGGTATAATATAATATATATGAAGATATTCTCAACATCGTGGATTAAACATAAAACTATAGAATTATAATTTATTTCAATGCCTATAGGCTATATTAATAACTTCAATAGATATAATGATGTAATTTAGACCACGGTCTTAAAATGCCTAGACTGCGTTAAATTATAATCACAGAATAAGAAAGTATTGACCTTATGACAGTAGACGGTGGTCCGGTGGTACTCATCACCAAATGTTTCTTCCCTACAACTCTGCGGTTTGCATGACCATTGACCAACAAAGTAAAGTATTATTATTTATTTGTACTACATTATTCCATTTTACATTTATAAATGGTAGTCGGCGGCAATATTCATCAAAATATTATTATTACAATTATTTATTCACAGATGGCGATAAATGTAGATCATAGCTGATCCAGACCCGTGGGAAACATTTCGTTTTCATTGATAACATATTTGTCACAATACCTACCACGGTAACTTACTAGTATTCTTTGAAATAAAGATAAAATTTTGCTTGTTCTTCCATGAAAACCCCCATCCACAATACATTCGTGATTTGCAATTTTATAAAACAAGGTAATTGAATGTTGATATGAATTACGAACAGTTTTAAAGTTGTATTTTGTATTAGTGTACTATTGTCTACTACTACTTTTGGTTTTTCAGTTCTTTATACCTACGTAAATTGAATTGGAATACATATTAAAAACTATTGTTCAACCAAAAACATGTAAGTGATATATTATAATATCCAATTATTTTTATTGCATCTCATTGTATTTGTGTAAACTATAGTACCAATTAAAATTAAATTTGTATTTTATAAAAAATAAAGATCAAGATGATGGACAATTTGGAACCTTTAACTACTGATGGTGGTCGTATAGTGAAAATGGAAGTGGACTATAGTGCTACGTGTGATGAAAAAATTGCTATCGCTGAGAGTTTGGCAGCCAGTGGTAAATTGCAAGAAGCATTGGATACATTACTCATGCTTGAAAAACAAACTAGGACCGTGAGTTATCCTTCTCTTTATATCATTACAACTACATAACTGAATTTGATAGTTATTAATATTATTTATTATTATCTATACTTTAAATGTATATACTTATTTTATACCTATTTAATATTAAGTAACTTAGTGTGTGTTCCACCTATATCTTATAGAAATTCATTTTGAAAATTGTTATTGATTTCAATTGAATGAGTTAAGATTTTCAGTACAATTTATTAAAGTTATTTTTATTGTAATATCTAAGAGTGATTGAAAAATGAAAAGTGTTATGTCTAGAATTTGGAATTTTTTGCATCAAAAATGATCAAAATGTGTAACTAAAAAATGTAAAATTTGTAAAAATAGTTTTTTTAACTACTTATGTGTAAATAATAATTGTTAAGTACGTTTAATTTGATTTTTCTTGACCTTGCTTTGTTGATATGCTTTTTGTTTTTAAATGTTGTGTGACTATAAATCATCTAACCTTCTCTTGTTTCACATAATTTATAGAATAAAATAACTCCATCAGTATAAAATATATTTTTTCCAAACTCTGTTATGCATTGACATATACAGTTATTATTTAAATTTTTAAATAGTTTTAAATTCCCAAAATAAAACAACATATCTATTCAAAAAAAAAATAATACTTTAAATTTTGTAGGTTAATCGATAAATAACATGATAAAAACTATAATCACAATACATGAACATCATATTCAAGTATTGAATTTGTCAAAATGTTATTCTGTTTCTAATCTTAATTTTGTCATTTAAAATAAATAATAGTAATTTGTTGATTATACTAAACCTTCAATTTCTTATGATTGAAGGTAATCATATAATTTAATTTATTTAATAAATTAACATGTTATAAGATATGCAAATATAAAGCTTTGAAATATGATAAACTATGCCATAAAATTTACTTAGTGAAATAATTTCCATCCTACCTAGAGTATTCTACAAGCATTACAAAAAAAAAAACGTAAATGTAAGAAGTTCTGAACTCTAGTTATAACCTATATTTAAAAGCCTCTTTGAAGATATTACACATTTTATCACAAAGATTAATAAATTGCTTACATTATAATAATTATCTACTATTAATTAAAAAATAATTTTTCTAATATCTTATTATGTTTAAGGGATCTGATATGGCTTCAACTAGTCGAGTTTTGGTTGCTATTGTAAAACTTTGTTTTCAAGCTAAAGAATGGACATTACTTAATGAACATATTGTAATGTTAACTAAAAGAAGATCTCAGTTAAAACTTGCAGTTGCAGCTATGGTCAGAGAATGTTGTACATTTATTGACCAAACACCAGACAAAGAGACAAAATTGAAATTAATTGAGTCCCTTAGAAATGTTACTGAAGGAAAGGTAAATAATTCCATTTTTATTTAAAATTAAAACAATCTGATGGTATAAATTTAAATGTTATGTTATTAAATTTCATTATTAATTTAGTTTATTAATACTATAATATTGTATTTTTGTATAAAATTACATTTTATTATTTTTGTTACTTAGATATATGTGGAAGTAGAAAGAGCTCGTTTAACACAAAAGTTGGCTCAAATTAAAGAAGATGAAGGTGATGTAACTGGCGCTGCAAATATTATTCAAGAATTGCAAGTGGAAACTTATGGTTCAATGAAAAAACAAGAAAAAGTTGAACTCATTTTAGAACAGATGAGATTATGTTTGGCTAAGAAAGATTATATTCGAACACAGATTATCTCTAAAAAAATAAATACTAAGTTTTTTGATGATGATAAACCCGAAATACAACAGCTTAAATTGAAATACTACAAGTAATAATTGTTATATTTAAATTTTAAATTTTTGAATAGTTATTATTACATACATTTTGCAGATTAATGATTGAGCTAGGTGAACACGATGGTTTATACTTAGACATTTGCCGCCACTACAGAGCTATTCAAGTTACTCCCGAGATTAGTGCCGATGAAACAAAATGCAATGCTGCTTTGCAAAATGCAATATTATATCTTATATTAGCTCCATACGATAATCATCAGTCTGATTTAACTCATCGAATTTTAGAAGATGAAACTTTACAAAAAATACCTAAGTACAAGTATGTATTTTTATACTTAATGTATATATTATATCTATGTCTCTGTTTTTTTAATTTTATAATTATAATTAATAGATCATTCTTGCAATTATTTACTACTATGGAATTAATTCAATGGAAAGAATTGAGCAAGGATTATGAAAGTGAACTGAAATCTGGGTCTACAGCAACAGATGTATTTTCAGAAAGCACCGAAAAAGGAAAAAAACGTTGGGCTGATCTTAAAAATAGAGTTGCTGAACATGTATGTATTCAAACAGGAGTTTAAAGTTAAAAATAAATTTGATAGTAATATTTATAGCCACTTAATTATTTATTGTTACTTTTTTTATTTATATATATAGAATGTACGTGTAATGGCCAAATATTATTCAAGAATCAGAGTTACTCGAATGGCTCAGTTATTAGATATGACTTTAGAGGTTAGATGAATTTATGTTATTCTTCAATAATTTAAATTTAAATCATTTAAAATTTTTTAATTATAAAAAAATTATTTATCTGTTTCAGGACACCGAACAATTGTTATCTAATATGGTCGTTGATAAATCTGTCAAAGCTAAAATTGATCGTCCTTCAGGTGTGGTTGAGTTCTCAGTTGCCAAATCTGTAAATGAAGTGTTGAATGAATGGTCATTTGGACTCAATGACCTCATGAAGCTAGTAAATAATACTACTCATCTCATCAACAAAGAACAGATGGTTCATAAACATTTACTGTCTCATTAAGAATTCATCAAAATTTGTAAATTTTCCCAAAAACACAAATTTAATAATAATTTAATTGTTAATTAAATTACAATTAATCACACTCATCCAAAATATTTGATCGTTTTCAATTTTATAGTTTGAATGAGTAATAAACAATTTATATTTTTTACAATATCTGTACACATTAAATGATGATAGGGGTGAATAAGAAGAGAATTACATATTAATGAGTTAAAAAAAAAAAAAAATTGTGAATACTATAGGAATAAATTTAATATAATTAAATTAATAAGTGCTTGTTATGTCTAAGTACGGCTGGCTTTAAATTATTTTGTTTTTTTATAATCCTGCAACAATTATTCTAGGATCTTCAATGGCAGCTTTAATTTTGCGTAAGAACAATACAGCTTCACGCCCATCTACGAGTCTATGATCATATGTTAAGGCTATGTACATCATGGGTCTTATGACAACCTAATCAATAAAATAAAAATATATTATCATAGACCAAGAAACTGTAGTAATAGTTTTACCTGTCCTTTAACAGCAATAGGCCTTTCAAAAATACCATGCATTCCCAAAATAGCAGATTGCGGTGGATTGATGATTGGTGTTCCCATTAGAGATCCAAAAACTCCACCATTACTGACAGTAAAGGTACCACCATCCATGTCTTCGACATCAATAGCACCTCTTTTTGCTTTTTCACCAAGAGCAGCAATTGTTTTTTCAATATCTGCATAGTTCATGTCTTGCACATTGCGTACAACAGGCACTAATAGACCCTATTTATAAAATGCTATAAAATTAAAATAATTTCTCAAATTGTATTGTTAATATTCAAATACATACTTTGGGAGTTGCTACAGCTACAGATATGTCTACATAATCTCTGTAGATAATTTCATTGCCTTCTATTACAGCATTGATAACCGGTTGATCTTGTAGGGCATAAGCAGACGCTTTTAAGAATGCAGACATGAAACCTAATTTCAAACCATGCTTCTTTTGAAAAGCTTCGAGGTTAGTTTTACGGAAATCCATGATTGAGCTAAGTTAGAATTTTAAATTGTAGGATATGAATTTATTTAATACTTGATGTTATATTATATAATACTTGATGATTACCTCATGTCTATCTCATTAAAAGTTGTCAACATGGCATTAACATTTTGAGCATCCTTCAAGCGTTGGGCAATACGTAATCGCATACGATTCATTTTAACACGATATTCTGATCTAGTTCCAGTTATCTCTTTTGTAGGATCAGCTGGTGGTAATTTAACAGTCGCACCTTGTTGTTTTGATACTTGTGGGGCAGTAGCTGGTGGTGCAGCTACTCTTGACATAGGGGGAGGGGGAGGAGGAGGTGATGGTGGTGTTGATTGTTGAGACTGTGGGGAAGGTGTTGCAGGAACAGGAGTAGCCACTGGTGTTACCGGTTCTGCAGCTTTAGGGGTGTCTTCAACTTTAGGAGCTGCCTTGGCTGGTGCAGGTGCTCCTTCTAACAATTTATTAAAACATTATAATATCTTAGAAATCAATTACAAAAAGACATCTTTACCCGTGATGGTAATTGTACACAAATCTTGTCCAGCTACAACAGTAGCACCATCTTCAACAAATCGCTTTTCAATAACTCCATTGACTGGTGAAGGAACAGGAACTGATGTCTTAAAAAATTAATAAAAATAGTAATACAATATTTGATATTTATTTAAAAGAATATCAATTTATTTTAAGTATTATCTCACTTTATCTGTTTCGATTTCACAAACCACTTCGTCTACTGCCACTGAGTCTCCAACATCTGTAAAAATAAAAGAATTGTAATAATTCAATATATTACTATATCACACTACGAGCTAATTGTGCATAGTTACTATAAGCCAGGTTAATAAAGTTCCATTTTCTTATATTATAAATTGTAAAATTTGGTAAAATTATAATATTTAAAAAAAATCAATTACTATCATGTATTATAATGTACTTACTTTTTTCCCATCTCATGTCACCTTCAGAGACTGAATCGGCGAAAGCAGGTGTCTTTAAAACATGTTCTTCCCCTAATAATAAAAATAATAATATACTCTACAATTTCCAATAGATGTTTAATTTGTATGTTATGTTTTTCTTACAAAGGATTGCACTTGTTTGAAAATAGCGGCATTGATCAAAAGATCGTCTATTGGATGAACCATAAAGTGATATCCTAAGGAAAAGGAATATTTAATTAGAACACTGGCATTAAAAAATCTCTGGGTATTAATAGACTACTCACGGATGAGAAGTAGTAACTGTTGACAATCCTCTCCTTGGACAAGCGGGCTCATTCCCTAGGTGAACCTTTCGTGTCTCGCTTAAAACCTAGTAAAGTGATACAATAGAGGAGATGAGAGAAGATAAATATTAGTTCATTACAGTCGACTACAGACTTCCGGCTTTCTAGAAAATAACCTATTCTCAGGCAGCCTCACATAACTTACCTCAAACTGGACCGCCCTTCTGGCAGCGACGGTGGTCTTCAAGGCATTTTTCGGCAGACCCCTGACGATTTGCAACATACCGTAGGCCATTTCGGCTTACAGCGTTCAATCGCGAAACGCTTTCGGGGAGAGGAGAACAAAAACCGTGGATTGTGTTCGTCACGTCGTTGGCCTTTGACTCACCTGTGCGAAAACGGAGGGAGGGGACCTGATAGAGATGACGAGGTCAGTGTTTTCGTCCGGTCCTGTTTCTCTGAGCCTCGGCGAGATAAATAATTTTTCGGGTCACTTTTGTAATAGTTTGCGTAGCAGCGGCAAGCGAGAGGTCAGTGTCATCGACGACTAGGACACGAAGTAGATAACAGTCGATGATAAAAAAAACCTAACACATGTTTCGCACTCTCCGACACTCGTGACTGGTATTATTCGCGTAATGACTGCGCGGCAATTTCGCATTAATTCAAATCAAACGACGTTCGAAAGATACTTGCATGTAAAGTACGCGTTGCAAAATCGAAACGAACGACGAATAACGACAATGGCAAAATGGCAAAATGAATCGACATCCCGTCACTCACATAACAAATATAAATTAAAAACACTTTCAGTTACGTGGCGCGTTGTCCTTCGCGATCAGTTCAATCGTTGTCGCCATACCTACTGGCTACTATGAAATATAATATAAATACATAATACTCGTGCAGTCATGCTCATTGATTACCGCTGAGGTTCGTACTTTTATGATTATTACTCTGGCGTTGACCCGATCGACCGTTTATCGTTGTTATTATTATTTTTTTATTAAATTAGACAGTAAGAGAATATAGTTTGTCTCGACAACGCACAAAAGACGCGATTAAAATATTTAAAATTATACCTATAATTATATCAATTATACGGTATATCATAATATGTGCTATATAAATAGCTATATTATGTATAGCCTACATATAACATTTACAATAACGTGATTATCAATAAATATTAATCTAGCAATAGTATAGCCTCTTATTTGGCTTTTAGCTCTACCGCGATATAATTTAGAGTGCATATATATTATATTATACTCTATATTGTTTTAGTTTATATGTATACACTAAAACAATATAAAAATACATATAAAATAAAATTAGTGAATAATATCTAAAAATTTAAAACACTAATACTATGTATATATTTATAAACAGCTCTGATTTATTATAACTAATATTACGAGAAATTAACATAAGATAACCATGATAATATTTTTATATAAAAAATCTAAAAAACCTACATTTGGTAGACATTTTGAAATAATCGGCACCCAATTTATGTAATAAAATACGATCTAATATATAAAATCTCTCAATTAATTCATTTGAAAAACAAATTTTGCTGTATAGTTATTAGTCTCCTGACGAATTAATTGTATAATAAATTAGTAATTCATATTAATGTAAGATAATTATTTAATACTTAATCAAGTACTTATCAAATATATGTATTACACTTATATCATTTGATTTAGAACTCCTAAGGTCCCCATACGAGTCTTCTTAAAGGAACTCTGTATTAGCAGGGCCGGCAAGAACATTTGTGGGCCCCGGGGCTGATCAATTTCGGGCCCCTTTACTTATAGTTATTTCATATTTGACTAAGATATACATAACACTTTAATACAGTAGTCTAACCGATTAGACGATTACACAGATCGAACTCGCATTGAATGCGCGTATGTTTTGTTATATTTGTGCGTACTGTTTCGTACTGTATTGCGTATGTGATAATATAGTAGCTACATGTAGCTGTTTAATTTTGAGCGATTAGACGCGAATGTTTACGGCTTAACTTGTAATTCTAAGTTATATAACATATAATTTATATAAAATAATTTTTCTACTCAAAAAATTTGTAAAATTGACCGCCCGGGCCTATAGGGCCTGTGCGACTGTGTCTAAATACGCCTCAGACAACGCCCCCCCCCTGGAGGCTCGGGCCTCCACCTGCCTCACCCTCACGCCGGGCTTGTGTATTAGGTACATAAATATGAAACTAAATAAAATAAAATAATATATTTATCTCTAATAAAATAGTTTAGTGAGTATTAATTGATACATATAAAAATGAACAAATTGTCAACCTAACTCGACTGAGTCGACTGCAATTATTTTTTAAAGTCACTTAGTGCATAATTATTTACAATCCATTCATCTAACATTCCAATAAATATTTCGTCATCTACAAATTACAAGAAATACCTACAAACTAAAACCGATAAATATTTAATAAATTTTAATGAATCCTATCAATAAATAAATATTAAAAATAAGAAAAAATTGCGCTTGAAAAATATAAATATAATTTCAATATTGCCAGACGCCAATATACATATATAGGACATATTCACATATAGTACAAAAGTCGAAAAAAAATGTGCATAATATGTGTTTTTAATATTTTTAAATTGCTATAAAAGAAAAATAATGTGGAATCTTATATTACATCTAAAGCTTTTTGAATCGATTTAACATTTTTATTAACTCGCTTTAAAAGGTTTGAAAATTTAAAATTCTTATAAAAGGTAGTCTAAAACCTAAATATTTTGAAAACAATTATAATTTAAATAACAATGGAATATTTTTACGGTTAATATTTTTTGAATAACAACGTAAGAAAAATCGTTTAAGGGGATTGGAAGCCGTGATTTGGAAGCTGTCTTTGTCTAACATACGTGTAACATAGAATTATAGACGTATTATATTTCCAACGTACCGATTGATATAATGAAACAATAAAAATTATGAAAACAGATATGAATTTTTCGTCAAGTCTACTTCAGATCGACTTTCTCATATTTTTGAGTTTTTGATTTAAACTTTTCCAAAATTTTTTAATGTATCATTTTTAGGATTTTTTTTGGGGGAGGGAGGGGGAGATAATATCAAAAATGTGAGAAAATCGATCATCGATCTAAAGTAGAATTGATGAAAAATTCAAATCTGTTTTCATAATTCTTATCGCTTCATTAAATCAATCGATACGTTGGAAATAAAATACGTCTATAATCCTATGTTACACGTGTGTTAGACAAAGACAGAAAATCGCAGCTTCCAATCTCCTTAAAGATAAATCACTATTTTACATAATTAATATGATTTAGCAGTTCACACATTTACATTATATAATCTATTTGTGTTTTTAATTTTAATGAGAAAAGTTTATGAAAAATTATGTATTAAATTTTAAATTTTTAAGCTTTATTAAGATTAAAAATTGTGTGATTTTTAACCGCGAAATAATCTTAGATTTTCGAGATTTAGGGGAATACTTTCGTTAACATTTGAACGTCTGACACTTTCAATTTTCAAAAAGAATTGTTAATGCATTTTTAACATACTAAGAACAGTCTATGAGGAATCTACTTACAGTCAGGCATTGTGACTAGGAAAAAAAAGTTTTATCATATCTATAAAAAATTAAAAAATAATTTGAAAAAGTCGAAAATCACAAACTTCTCTTAATAACTAAAAATATTCTTAACATGATATCAGATTATCTAGAAAATAATTAATATTATATTTATGATAGAAATATTTTAATTTTCTTTAGTAAATTTTTGAAGTACAACAAAAAAACCAAGTCAAATTATATTAGTTTTCCAGATAGTATGTATATATTTTTTAAATATTTTATTTGTTACGATTATTTAAAAACATTCCTTTATTTCATTTGATGTCCCAAAGTACAATCTGTATTAAATTTTCTACTAAATACCTACCACCCTCAGTATTGAATAATATTCATCTATAGTATGTAAGTAAAAGTTTATTAGAACAATTTTCTGATTTGTAAAAACACATAATCGTAAGACCAATAAATTCATCGCTCCGCTTAAAATCTATTAATCATAATTCATAAGTAATGAAAAATATTTTTAAAACGCAGTTGTACAATCAATATTATTTTAATATTATTATTATTAATATTATTTTTTTTTTTTTTTTGTACTAGTTTAGCTAAGTATTATTAATATTATAGAATAAAATTTAATTTAGGTACATAATATAATTATAAATTATACATATATTTTTATTTTTATAATATTATAAATTAAACTATTAATAGGTAACATTATCCCTCGAGTCATTGGATAATAGCTTTCAGATGATCAATGGTAGCTATTCTTAATTGTATTTCTATATTTTCATTAATTATTTCGTTTTTATAATTTTTTTTTTGTTCTTCTGAGTGCATTTTTTCCAATATAAGTATTTCATTTCTTTCATGTATTTTTTTATTTAATAAATAAATTTCATTTTCAAGTTTGTTGGTTTTTTCTTTAGTGTTCTTAAATACCATAAATAATAAATATACACTTTTGTTAGTTATTTTAGTTTTTAATGTTTTAGAGTTTAAAACTGTATTTATTTTTATTACATAATATTCTATATTCGGTATTTTATTTTATATTATCTATTAAAATATGCAAGAATTTGTTTTTAAATAAAAAGAGAATAAAATCCGAATTAATGGAGATTTGAAAATTTATCATATAGTATTTCTAAGTTTTAGTAATTAACAATATTCAAAAACTATTGATTGAATTCGTTTTACCCTCAGATATGATTAATTATTATATGTTTTAACTTAAAAAAAAAGTTTTTAAACAAATAATTCTTTTATTTTTTTATGTTTGTTTTATACATAACAAGAAGCATTTAAAAATAGTATGTTAAAAATAAACTAAAAATCTTTGTCTGTGAAATATCAAATTAAATTGAATATTTATATTAAACGTTCAAAAACAAAAAAATTGTACACCTATTATTATGTTTCATAGTCACCAATCTAATTTTTAAAGACCTGCATGGGCCGGGACGGATTCAATATAATTCAAGCCGAACCGGGCGGACGGGGTTAGGTTCATATTATATTTTATTATATAGGATCATAATATTTTTATTATTAGATACTCACAAAATTATGCGGTAAAAACGCGATGAAAATAGCAAAGCTAGCTCCTCTTTTATTTTGAACAAGACATTTTATTATATCTATGTTTAAAATTCACCATACTTTGATAGGACTATCCAACCTGCTACAACATCACTAGTGTGGTGGTTGATATTAATAAGTTAATAATAATATATTTTGTATTGTTTGTGTAAAAATGTATTTTAGTATACTTAATTTAAAAAATAAAATACAAATAATCAACTGAAATTATTTTAAAAACTTTGAAAAAATTAACCAGTCTAAATTACTTTACCAACAAATTAGGATATCTGCTATTCGGACTTAGCCAGGTTAACTTATGAAAAATGTGATCCGGGCTGCGCTACATTTTTTCGGCCCTTGCAGACCTTTAATAATTATTCTATACAAGTCCATATTTACTTTAAAACGTCTTTTCGCTATATCAATTTCATTTTTTATTATTTCCAAAAATTTGTCATTGATATTTTTATAATTTACAGTTAATTTCAAATTTTCAATTTTTAATACTTTCTCGTATTCTTTGATTACTTGCCAAACTCTAAGCCATTCATTACGAGCGGCTTGATAATCAAGCAACCCTCGTCTTATCGAATCTTTTAAATCTTTATACATTTCACTTGTCACATTGTCGAAACGCATTTTG